GCATTAGAACTAAGACCTGAATGATGACATGGGGCCAGTTATGCAAAGTCGATGGGTGAAAATTTGAGCAAACACAACAGCTCCAAGGTGGGAATGAGCTTGGCATACCTGAGGAACAAAGAGGAAATGGAGCATCACTTTCTCTGCATTTACAGCGAGTAAATAAAATAATAAAAACCCCAAATCAGTTGCTGTTGAGTCAGCTCTGAACTCACGACAACCCCATGTGTGTATGAGTTGAACTACGTTCCACAGGGTTTTTGATAGCTGTTTTTTCGGCAGATTGCCAGGCCTTTCTTCCAAGGTGCCTCTGAGCCGAGGTTCGATTAGCAGCCAAGAACATTCAGCATTTCTGCCACCCAGGGACACCAAATAAATAAGACAACCCCAATATTTCAGAATCGAGCCAAGAATCCCAGATCTTGACTCAAATCCCCCACGCATCTCCACACTCAAACTATATCCTGACTTCTAAACACTTAAAAGGCATTCCTGAACACTTCCTCTGGCACAGGAAGCATCACTGATTCTTCTAGAATGCAAGGACAATGGGAAGGAGGTAACTTTCTAGAGCAGTGGTTACAAAGGGGTCAGTAAATGAACATTTAAAGGCATGAGCGTCCTATTGTGTAAATCAGACCTCAATAAAATTGATTTTCAAAACGCAGGAGGGAAAAATGACCTGGAGACATTTCTATGGCCAACAGTATCTGCCTGTGTGGGCTTCTGCAGCCAGGGAAGCTGTCGAAGCCATAAGACAACCACAAACATGTAGGAAGGAGGGGAGGTAGCAGGGAAGTTGGAAAGGCCAGGGAAGGAGGGCATTTATCGCTTGATGGCGTGTCTTTGCAAGTGACTCCAGCTCTTCTGAAGCGTGTTTGAAAGACACACAGGGCACTGTGCTATCTAATTTGCCACTTGTATTTCTGATTCTGTTTGAAGGTTGGCAAAATAATGACATGTCTTCCCGACTGGTTTCAAGTCAAGAGAACTTCAAAAACATGCGTCTCTGCCCCTAAGGTCATTTAGCACCAATGCCCCACCAAGAGGTCTGGCCCTGCTAGGGGCAGATGCAGAACATACTCCTGGCCTTGATCTTACGGAAGCTCCCTGAACCGGCCCCTGTGCGTGCACCGTGATTGCAGAGCACTGAGCAGACAGGAAGCCCGGCACGTTTGCGATCAAAGGCAGTGCGGTGCAGTGGTCAGGGACCTATGATCTGGTCTCAGACACTCTGGACTTGAAGGCTGACTCCTCCACTCACCAGGCACCTATTCATCCTCTCTGGAAGCAATCTGTGTCTCTGTAAATGGTAGACTGCCTATCCCATGGGAAAGGAGGGGCATGAAATTAAGTTAGCCCTCACATATCTGCTTATGGCAAATAGCAAAGCCAGAAAAGGTCATTCAGCATCACCTAGCCCAACAGCTCGTGGTACATTTAATGTCATCATACATGGACCTTCCCTCCTATTCCAAATCTGCCATTTCCTCAAGACTAAAATAAGTCCAGAGAGGTTATGAGACTTGGCCAAGGTCACACAGCTAAACAGATGTAGCACAGAAAAGGATGGGCACCGAGTGGCCAGACTGCAACATCACTGCCTCCAGTAGAGGCCAAACCAAACCAAACCAAACCACTCGTTGCCATCAAGTTCATTCCAACTCAGAGCAGCCCTAAAGACAGAGTAGAACTGCCCCCACAGGGTTTCCAAGACTAATCTTTATAGAAGAAGAATGCCACATCTTTCTCCTACAGAGCAGCTGGTA